TGTGTGTGTCTCAGTCTCTGTGTGTCTCAGTCTCTGTCTCAGTATCAGTCTCTGTGTGTGTGTCTCTCTCTGTGTGTCTCTGTCTGTGTGAGTATCACAGTCTCTGTGTGTGTGTCTCAGTCTCTGTCTGTGTGTGTGTCTCAGTCTCTGTGTGTGTGTCTCAGTCTCTATCTGCATCTCAGTTTGTGTGTCTCAGTCTCTGTGTGCGTATCAGTCTCTGTGTGTGTGTCTCAGTCTCTGTGTGTCTCTGTGTGTCTCTGTCTGTGTGCGTGTCTCAGTCTGTGTGTGTGTCTCAGTCTCTGTGTGAGTATCACAGTCTGACTCCGTGTGTGTCTCTAATTCTGTGTGTGTCTCTGACTCTGTGTGTGTCTGTGTGTGTACCTGAGGTGAAGCTGCTGCAGCTGCTGCTCTTCTCCCAGAGCTGCAGGCAAACTCCTCAGCTGGTTGTCATGAAGCTGTCAGGAAAACAAACCAACGTTTGAACTCACAGTTTCAGTTCTTTAGTCCATCAAACTCAAGATAAAAATAAAGTCTGTCAGCAAAATATTCAACACCAGAGACAATGAAGCCACCCAAAGCAGAAAAAGAATTATTAGTGATTTATCCGAGCATTTTTATCATATTTAGACATATAGTGCTCTGTATTGTCATCATTGTATGTTCCCATTGGTTGCTGTTAATTAAACAGCTGTTTTATCAGCTGTGAGCAGTTGTTGGTTTTGGATGCCATCACAGATGGAAAGAACACGAGGGACAGGCAGGGCGCCCTCTAGTGGTTTATAGAACACTTTTGATAACAATACTTATTGGTAATAAATCTGTTTATTTCTCCTTAAATGGTGTCATATCTGTTAAAAAAGGCATTTTGTAGATTGAGCCGCAGAGTTGAGTATGTGAGTTAAAAGATGCTGAATCTGCCTTTGACACTCAACTGCACTCACCTTGCGTCTTAAAACAGCCCTCAACACCCACTACTTACATCTAGGGTGATGAGTCCAGGTAACAGTCTGATGTCATCAGACAGATGACTCAGCTGATTGGACGACAGTAAAAGTTTAGTGAGGTCAGTCTGTTCCCACCAGCGATCTGATCCTCCAAAGGAAATGTCCTGCTGGGCTTCCTCCGGTGTGTCCGTGTTGAGCCGATAAACGCTCTGAGGGACTGAAACATATTAGGACGTCATGTGAGATAAGTCAGACTCTTACAAGTTCACCTGGTGAAAGGTGCCAACCATAAACCAAACATTTACCCATCAATTGGTTCAAAAAGGTCCAGTTTTTTGTCCTTTCAGTTTGATTTACAATCACAATCCAAACGTGGAAACACGTTTAAAATAAGCTGCCTCCTCCTAAACTCATCTGTCAGGATATAATAGAAAAAATATTCACATCAGAACTACTTCTAGACCTGAAACCACTGTTGTGTTGGCTAATGTTGACGGTGCTTTTGAACTGGCTCCAAAAGGTGATCGCTTGAAGATCTTCAGTCAATGATTACTTTCTGAGTGTCCATAAAATTCATCTAATGGTTCAGAAGATATTTAAATAATAAACAGACACACAAACAGGGGTGGACAAAAGCAGAATTGTCTGCCTTTGCCTTTCAGCTGAGGGCAATGTGGTCCTCAACCCCCGAGTACCCATAAATGTTAAAGTCCCCATCTGCACTGCTCCTAATCAGCCCCAACTCTGCGCAGCCTGCCATGGAAAGAACCCTTTTGCACCAATACTTTAGCTAGTATTTTTAGCTGATTCACAGCTGAAGCTGAACAGCCCTGCATTACAGCACCCCCACAGGACTGTCCCCCAACAAGTCTGGAGTCCAGCCTCTTGAGCCCAGCTCCAACTGTGAAAAAATACCTGAAGCCTTCAAGCAGGAATTTATGATTTGTTCCACTGGTTTATAGGGAGACTTATCCATCACCAGGTGCAATGGAGGCCTTGGCCCCCCACAGATCAATTTTCATTCACTCCCATCATTTGAGGAAACTGCACTTCTAAGCAACATCAAAACTAAGAAGCATGGTTTTCTCAAATGATAGAGGTGGCCATCTTGGATTTTCTACGTGGACAACAAATGAGACCGCTCTGGTCAAATAAAATAATTCACCTCAGTATTCGTTTTTAGGTGTCAACTATGATAGTTGATGTGGTTCTCCACCCGCTGCTGTTGGCTAAATATTCACTTCCCTTACAACTTTACCTGTATTTTGTTACTTTATTAACGTGACACTGCAATTGTGTGTGGGTGAACTGGGCGGGGCTTCAAGCCCAATGTTTCTGGTAGTGACAGGAACAGCAGTTGTTTTAAGTGTTTGAATCTCTAGAATCAGTTCATTAAAATGTTTGGTTCAAAAGATGTGTTCACCGAATCCTTCAGTTCATGCAGTTTATTTGTGCAGTATGTGAATGAGTGACACAGAGCCACTTCCAGCACAGAACTACGCGAACAAGTCACTCAGTGGCAGTTCAGTGCGCAAATGCGTTAATCAGCAGTACTTTCATTGAACAAATCTCCCCTGTCCTCTCTGACAGACTCTCCTCTCTGTTCATGAGTGACACAGCAACAAGCAATCGTGTCCTTTCCCTTTTATTATTATTAATATTAAGACTTTATTAAGGACAGAGAGCAGAGGTCTATATGAAAGATTTAAATAAAAATTCAGGAGTTTATCATTTAATGTAAATAAAAAAGATGGGATTTTTTTTTTTTTTTATTAAAGCATCTCAGCTGTAGCAGAAAGGCAATTAAATTGTCCAGACAACACTTTTTCTTCTTGACTCGCTCATCATAGAATGTTCTAGAATTGCGCCGCTCAAGGTGGCTGCATGTTGGAGCAGCTCTGTTACTTTCATTCTGAGATTTTGCTTTTGGAAACTTTAATTCCTCTTTTTCTGGATGTAAATCACATTTTTTGGATGATTGTTTCCTCTGGTATCAGATGCTGTGCAGCTGGAAGGATTTTTACTGAAACTTTTTTAGTTTTGGACATTTATTATGATGTGTAACCATGGCAACAAGGCAGTTTTCTACAACCAACAGCAGCTGATTAACATCTCAAAAGCTCAAATAATATCTCAGCTACAGCCCCAAATCTCAAATGAGTTGAAAAGGATGTTCTGTGGATGCATTGTCATCTACCTGCCAGCTGTGCTCGAGTGCCTGACCACTGAGATCCTGGAACTAGCAGGAAACACGGCTCATGACAGCGGAAGGACAGGATCGTCCCTCGGCACCTACAGTTGGCTGTCTGCAGTGACAAGGAGCTCAGCAGACTGCTGGGAGGAGTGGTCATCGCACTGGGAGGAGTTCTGCCCAGCATTTGGGCGGTCCTACAGCCCGGAGGAACCAAGAGGCCAGTCGAGTCTGGGTGGACGGATCAGACGGCATCTGCAGCCAGTTTCTTATGTTCCACTGTGGGATGGATCTTTACAAGAGATCCTTCCTGTCTACAGCCATCAGTATCTATAACATCTCTTAATGAAATGAGGATAACAAGTTACAACAAATAATTTCCTTTTGGGATTAATAAAGTATTTTGAATTGAATTGAATTAATGGGGACGGGGGCGTGAATGCGTTTATTTTCATGTGGCTTGACTCATTAGCTGTCAGCTTGGAGAAACAGATGCCATTGCCAATGGCATGAGTGCATGTCCCCGTGAGGAGGAAACTGAGAATCCCTCAGGACAGAGTCAGAGAGTGTTTCATTCACTGAGTGACACATGTGAGGTTCACATGTAGTTTATTTGCAGTAAACGAGTGAGCTCAACTGAACCGAGAAAGAAAAGAACACCAATTTCAATACTGTTACTTTAATGTCTTAATGTCATGTGTATATATATATATATATATATATATATATATATATATATATATATATGTGTATGTGTATGTGTGTGTATGTGCATGTGTGTGTATGTGCATGTGTGCGTATGTGCATGTGTGCGTATATGTACACATCTACTGACTGTGAAACTAATTGCCCCTCGGGGATAATAAAGATACTTGAACTTGAAGAATCAGTTAAAGTGATTCAGTTCAGTTGTTTGTTCACTCAAAAGAATTATTTATTTGAACAAATTATTCATGAATGACACAATATAGTTTCTGGTGCGCAGAAGATGGTCCCAAAAATTCAACAAGAACATGGCAGCTCCCATAAACCTGGTCCTGCTGACTTCACCTTGCAACAACCAGGCGTGAAACCTTAGTGTTCACGTTGGTTATCACTTCCGGGAAAGCCCTCCTGACAAAATAAACCTCCTCGGCTATTGCCCAGCTCAGTTAGTAGAGCTGCTGCCTCTCAGCAAGAAGGTCGCCGGTTCAAACCCCGGCCCGGGACCTTTCAGGTTTGAGTTTACGTGTTCTCTCTGTGCAGGCGTGAGTTTTCTCCGGGTACTACGGTTTATTCCCACAGACCAAAAACATGCATGTTAGGCTGATTGGTAACTCTAAACTGTCCCTAGGTGTGAGTGAGTGGCGATTGTAGCCTATTTTTGGGGGTGCTCAAGCACCACTAGATTTTAACTCAGCACCCCTGAAAAATTAAGAAACCAACATCACGATTTTGTAAGGAAGCTTAGTTCTCAAGCCTTGGGCTCACCAGAATTTTGAATAAATATGGAATAAATGATGACAGTCTTAGACGGGCCAGCAAAATTGATGATTTATTTTGCACAAGTTGGATCATCAAGGCCACCTGTCAATCAACCCAGTAGGCTCGTCAGCAAATGACCAGTCGGTGACCTCAGTTTGTCCTGAAGTGAAACGGCAGTTCCTTACTTGCAGGAATTGCACCCGCTTTTCCTCTGAAAACATTATTGGGGTTTTTGCATTAAGAGCGTTTTGTAGTCAGAGAAATTTTGTGAAAAATCATCAGAAAAAGATGACTAAATGTTGTCAGTGGGGAACATGTAATTCAGACAGCGTTCCCCTGAGCATTTAGGGAGTGTAATACAATTTATTCCATTTCACAAACTCAACAAAGTTTGGAAAAATGTATAAAAAAAAAATGGATAAAGACCAGCAAGCAACCTCATGAGCAGCTCAATACAACAGTGACAAATAGGACATACATGTTCAACTGTACAAAGGTAACTGCAGGTAAATTTTAAATTTTTCATAATTACCGGGAAATTGTATGCTTAATGGTTAAATTAAAGGTTAATGCTTGAAGCTATAGTTGTGCTTTGTTTTGTGCATTTTAAATGTAGATATATGTTGCAACTTCTGGTTGCATAAGTTTATTCTTTGGATGTGTCAGAGGAGTGGAGCACTAAGTCTGTAGCATCTTATTTAGCACAACTGTATATAATAAAAATAATAATAATTAATAATAATAATAATAATTTTATTTAAAAAGCACCTTTCAGGACACCCAAGGACACTTTACAGTAAGAAAATACATAAAGAATATAAAATACATACAGAATACAAAATACATAAAGAATATAAAATACATACAGCAAAGTTAAGGATAAGTGAGTCTAAAGAGATGTGTTTTCAGAGCAGTCTTGAATGGAGAAAGAGAGGTGGTGTTTCGTAATATTCACACAAGGAGAGCTGTTGGTCAGGCTACTTCTTGTTGTGCCCTCTAAAATAGTTACTGGATTAAGTTTTTGCTTATGTAGGTAAATGTATAACCTGTTAATACACCAGAATGCAGGAAATGGCGATTTTCTGGGGGAGGACCCACAGACACCCCCCACAAATGCTTCTGCAGCCAATGGCCACCACGTTGGCATTGGGGGCTAAGCACCCTTAAAGGTCAGATTCTAGAATCGCCCCTGGTGTGAGTTAAAGTGTGAACGGTTGTTTGTCTCGTTTGTGTCTCTGTGTCCCTGTGATGGACTGGAGACCTGTCCAGGGTGTCCCCTCTCGCACAGTGATAGCTGGATATGGGCACCAGTGACCCGAGCGACCCGAAAAGGAAGAAGCGGGTAAAGGTAATGAATGGGTTGGCCAACGTCCTGAATGAAAGCTAATGGTACAAGTTACCTTCCGTCAGTCCCCGGCCGGACAGGTTGAGCTGACCGCTTTTCCTGGCTGTCTTCAATAAACCAGAAGGGACAGTTGGTTCGGTCTTCTCCGTCCGAAAACCCGCCAGACTGTCCACTTTGTTCGCCTTCCTAAACCTAGACATTGTCTTTCAAGAAGTGAAGTCCACAGTTGTCCACCTGAGCTCGCAGTTTTTACACCCGCCCAAACATTACAGAGAGGGAATGTTATTTTCCGGTCAGGACCCTTCAGAATAAAACACAAACGCTTCTCTATGCTTGCAAAAAACAACGGCTCTTGTTAAAACAAAACAAAACCTACTGTGAAACAAGTTTTCCTGAAACTTTGTAGAGTGATCATCCCCTCAGAGTTCCCTGTTTACTTAAAAACTTAAAAATATTTATCTCTCTGCAACAAGTAAGTTTTACTTTGACAATCCCAAAGAGTGACGTTTTTTAATACAAACAGGAAGTTATGATTTAACTTATTGCAAAATTGCAAATTGTTTTTTTTATTTGCATTGTCCAGTATTTCAAACTGCTATTAAAATAGCAAAACACACACACACACACATTCAATTCAGTTTATTTATTATACTGTAGTGCCAAGTCACAAGAGAAGTCGTCTCAGCGCTGCACAAAAACATTACATAAAAAAAAAAAACATTTAGTAAAGTTATCTATCAAAGGAAACCAGCAGATTGCACTGAATCTTCACTTTGTTGCAGTCTCCCATCCTGAGCAAGCACAAAGGCAAAAGTGGAAAAAGAAAAACTCCCTCCCTTTTTATATGAACACCCCTACACAAACCCTGCAGATGTTGGATGTTGTCTATCATGGTGCGCTAAGATTCATAACTGGCTGTAACTACCGTACCCACCACTGCACCCTGTATTCACTGGTTAACTGGTCACCATTAACTTCATGCAGACTCTCTCACTGGTACATTTTCATCTTTAAATCACTTCTTGGTCTGCTGCCTTCATACATCTCCTCCTGCATGTCTCTGCGTGAGTGCAGCTACAGCGTGCGCTCTCAGGACTCTCATTACTTGCGGTGTTTCCTCAGTGAGGACTGAACTAGGCAAAAGGGCCTTCTCCTCCTCTCCTTTTTCCTGGAATATCTTGCAAAAAGATTTGAAGCTCTCAACCTTGACCTCTCTAAGTGGCTTCAAACATCTGCTAAGTTCATGGCAAAAAAAACAAAAACCAGTGCAGACATTTTTTTTAGTATTTTATATCCCTTTACAATGGAGCTGTTTTTGTTTCATTTTTAAATATCATTCTCTTCCATTTATTTTTTCAATGTATATGCTTTCTTGTATGACTGTCTACTGTTGTCATCATTCTTTGTTAAAATCATATCTGTCTTGTAAATTAGTCCTCGAGCCTCAATGAGACTAACCTGTATAAATAAAGGTTGACAAAAGAAACCTCCAGCAGAACAAGGCTCAGGACGAGCAGCTCTGCTTCAACTGACTGGGGTTTGAGAGGGCAGGGAAGAGAAACAAACACAAAATGACAGGTCCAGGTGTACCCCTATTGAAAGAAAGACAAAAAGCATGTTAAGATAGAAATAATTACAAAATCAATTAGGTAGAAATACAAAAAAGTTAGAATATAACAAGTCAAGACAGCAGCAGAGTAAGGAAATGTGGTCAGTTTGACCTTCAGAAAGCCTACAGTAGCCTAACATAGCTCAGGAAACCAAACCCAACCCTAACTATAGAATTTATCAAAAAGGCAAGACTTAATCTAACCTAATGTTAAACTGGACAATGTGTCAGCCTCACGGACAGAAACTGAAAGTTGGTTCCACAAGAGAGGAGCCTGATAACTGAAAGATCTGCCTCCCACTCTACTTTTGGAAACTCTTGGAACCACAAGTAAACCTGCAGTCTGAGAGCGAAGTGCACTGTTAGGAAAATATGGAATGGAACAACAAGATCAGTAGTATAAGATGGAGCAAGTTTGTTGAGAGCTATATAGGTTAGAAGTAAGATTTTGAATTAAATTCTGAATTTGGCAGTGAGCCAATGAAGAGAAACTAAAAGTGGAGAAATATGATCTCTCCTATCAACTCTCATTAAAACTTTGGCTGTAGCATTTTGGATCAACTGAAGACTTTTTAAAGAGATTTTGGATACCCAGACAACAAACCATTGCAATAGTCCAGTCTAGACGTGATAAATGCATGAACCAGTTTTTCGGCATCATTTTTAGATAAGATGTTTTTAATTTTAGAGATATTTCACATGTAGGGAAAAAAACCACCAAAAGCATTAAAAAGCATTTAAAAGCATTAATGATGTAATAAATAATTAAATGATACATTTAATTATTTAATGACATCCATATTTCTTTATTTTATGATGTGTTTATTTATTTAATTTTGTCACATTCCGCCCCCCACACAGTTGCAGTCCTTAATGTTTTGTGACATTACCGCTCCGGCTCGCTAGGGGGCAGGGTGGTCAACCCTCCGCAGCTGTAAGTAGTGCGCATGCGCAGGAGGAACTTCCTTTTTCCAGTGCAGCGAAGACAAGGGCTAGCCTTTGGCTTCGAGCTCCTTTTAAAGGAGATTAAAAGACTGCAAAATGGTTTGTAATCAACCCTCATATTTGTCTCTACGCTTACCCAGAATGCACATGTACTGTCGCATGCGGTGTAAAGGCTGAAAACATGTTTATGGTGTTTAGATGAAAGTGGATTCATTCATGCTAATCTGCCGACCCAGCTCGCCTTAACGTGGCCTGTCCTGCCCTCTCCTAACTTCTTGCTTCCTGTTGTCCGTAAATAACCTTATTGTTTATTTTAAAGTGATTAGAGAGTAAATACCTCGGGTCAAATCTTGATTTTTGCCCCAATTATAAATGGTCCTTCCGCTGAACTACCTGCACCGGTTAATATAGGCTAATTATGCCCATGCTAGCTCCGTTTAGCATCACTTTCTGACACCAGATATGGACTCAGCAACACTGTCGGCCACTGTCAGTTCTTTGTTTAAGTCGGTGTGTCTCTCCCTCACTTGCAGGGTTTTGTTAAAGTGGTGAAGAACAAGGCCTACTTCAAGAGGTACCAGGTCAAATTTAGGAGGAGGAGAGGTAAAGCATCAGTTTTACACGAGCTGCTCTTGTTTTGATCCTGACCATCATTCAGAGTAGTTTATGTTTGTGTGTTTATCCAGAGGGAAAGACTGACTTCTTTGCTCGCAAGCGCCTTGTTATTCAGGATAAGAACAAGTACAACACACCCAAGTACCGCATGATTGTCCGTTTCACCAACCGGGACGTCATCTGCCAGGTAAGCATCATCCTGGAGAACTGAAAGGTATTGTCGACAATTTGTAAGTCGTTTGCAGCCGCCTTAATAACTTTGAGAAGGAGGCTGGAGTCATTTTCCAACATCAACACATAGATGTTCTGTGTGGCAGAAATGTTGGTGAACGCAGACTGTTTAAACACTGATCACTGATGAAAATGTCTCGCCAGCATCACAGGCATGAAGAGTTAGGAAGTCATAATCAGCAGCAGCTGTCAATCCATTTTGTAGAGTGAGAGAAACTACATTTTCAAAAATAATTTTCACAATGAATTTATCTTTATTCTTTATCTGGCAGCAGTCCCAGCTGAATCTATGCAGCTCATTAACGTCACTTTGTTTTCTGTAACTACAGACGGGGTCATGAAATCTGTTCAACATCAAAAGCATCATATTGTGAACAAGACTGTTTTAACCCTTTAACTTTATGACTTCATGTTCCTCACGGGGAAAATCAAGCACCTTATTTAACTGCTTTAAATATTTTTCCACAAAAAAACTAGTCAAGTCTTATAGAACTCTCGGGCTGAAATAAATAATTTATTTATTTTTTGTTTTGTTTAAAAACTACACTAGTTTAGTTTTTTTAAAATCGTGACAATATTTATTTTACGGTATTTAAGAGTATTTTCCTCTTGTTAGTACGCCTTCTGGGTCACCATCCACATCATCCTCTGGTCTCCAGAGCTCAGAACTGATGCCTGGTTCTGTTGGCCCAGTCAGAGGGGTTCTGGACCTGGTCCTGTGCACAGTCAGACCTAGTGGGGCTTGATGCACTCTTCCTCTTGAAATCAAATCATGATCACCCTCTTCTCTGTCTGAGAGGTTCTGACTGCGGTTCCGTCATCCTCTGGGTCCACACTTGACTAGGCGGTGAATCGCCACCTGTTATTGAGAAGGCAGTTTGGGGTTGAAGAAAAATGGCACCTTTAGAATCACACAGGGCTGCAACTGTCGGACTAGTTGACGACTCGTTTTGTGAAAAAATTATTGTCGCAGTCTTGTTGAAATCTGAGCTCTTGTGACACACGGACGCTCGCTTTTATGCCATGCGCATTATACCCACCTTTGGTAGCTGACCTT